TAAAGAAACACCATCTCTCACTGAAGAAAGGCAAGCGGTCAAAGAAAATGGGAGGTCAGAGAAAGCTATTTTTTTTCCATCCTAGGTGGATGTTGCTCTTCCTAAGTCAGAATTTCACTGACCAGCTACATGGCTTCAGAGTACTTTATCTCACACTGATCGGCTGTTTTGATTGTATCAGATGCAGAGAGCTCTGTGTTAAATGAGTGAGGAGCTTGCAAGGGGATGTTTTTCTTAGTTATGTTGGATGCTGCTAGTGACCTTACAGAGGGTGTGGTCCCTCCATCCAATAAATGGACCTGTTGTTTTCAAGAGAAATGGGAAGATTAGAACCCAGGAGGAGAAGCAATCATCCTTCATTCATTCCAAGGAATCCAATGGCACCTATGATGTGCCAAGCTTTACCGAAATCCATTGGAAGCTGTTGGAGAGTCTATCCCCTAGGAAAATCATGAGACCTTCTACCTCTCTAAAACAAATTTCCTAGGTGAGCTATATTAAGGCCTATGTCCCTCTTCTCATAAAGGCATGTAAATCTGCAGTCAGAGAGAAGACATAAACTCTCAATATCCCTTGTTGAACTGTTATTTCTTATTATGCAGTGTTCCAATGGTCAACAAAATTTCCTGCTTGAAAATGACACTTGACATTTCTATTTCTATGCAATATTGGGAAATTGATGGTTCATCACTGTTTCAAATAAGGTCAAGGAACACTAATTCAGTGTCATCATTGGGTCTTTCTTTTCTGTCCTGAGTGAAATGATAAGAGGGGACAGAACATTTTCCGTCTCAGGACGGCTGTGAATGGACAGCTGGAGAAAAGCATACGGGAAGCACAATGGGGAAGAGACTGGAAGCCGAGCAGGTAATACCTGGCACCGTGGTTTGTACGCAGTAAAGGGCAAGCAGAGCGTGTGACATCTCTGTCTTGGCGTCCTGTGACTTCTGCTTTGTTGTTACTTAAGAGTGAAATTACTCCCTGTGTGCTGGACAGGAATGTACCAAGACTTACCTCAGGCTTCCGAGGGTCAGTCTCCACAAAGACGTTGAAAATGAGACAAGAGAAACATCCTAAGATCGAAGGTAAGAAGACAATAAAAGATTTGCCATGCAAACACTAGTCAAAAGTACGTGGGTAAAGATATGCAATGCCAGACAAAGTAAGTAGACTTTAATGGAAGAAGCATTTCATATATTGTATATCCTGTGCACCCCAACTGGAGCCCAAACGCTTCTGCTTTGTGATTCCTGGGGCCACTCTGCCGTCTCTGATCTGCCTTGGGGGTACAAATGCCAAGCCAGATCGTGGCTGTCCACTTTACCCACCCAGCCCACACTGTTCAAAGAGGGGAGTCCCGCTTCCACCCCAAATCTCAGGTTTTCTTTTTCATGTCTCTCCCAACTCTTTCTCCTACTCAACAGGTTTTTCTGGAGCTCTTACCTTGTGCCTGGCATGATGCTAGTCACTGGGGGCACATCTGGGGACAAAACAAATGGATCCCTGTTCTCCTGGGAATTGACAGTATAATGGGGAAGACAAACATGCAGCAACTACCTTAATAGTTGTTTCAGGTAAACATGCGATCAGCGCTATTACGTTTGAGTGCCCAGAGAGCTCAATACACCCATCACAAAGGGCTCCTGATATTAGTCATTTCATCAGGGCTCCAACCACTAAGCCAACCACCACTGGGTTTTCTGAAAAGAACCCGGTAACAGATGAAATACCTCAACAACCAGCCCCAGGAGGTGTAAGAATAACAGCTCTCCCTGAATAATTAATTGCTTGACATGCCAGGGTGCTTAACTCAGTCTAACTCAGACGTGTGCTGCTCTTGAGAAGCGACTCCCGCCCCCATCTAACACCTGTGGGTGTTCACGGCTCTGCCTGAGCCTGATTGTAAAGTCAGCCCCAACGTAGGGGCTTAGCACCCAGGTCCACAGGCCCTGAACCACAAGAAAGAGCCTGTGTTCTGGTCTGAGGTGACGAGTGGCAGGATCCATTTGATCTGGTAATTGGTTTGGAAACACCTGGCACAGGCCAGGTGGCAGGGGCCCAAGAGGGAATGAGGGGATCTCTGACCAAAGCTGAGTGGATGGATGCAACGTGCTGGGCAGGGGCGGTGGATGATTTCAGTACATGGTTTAGCTCACTGAACACCAGATAACGGGCCTCGTTGAAAACTGACTCATGTCTGGCTCCCTTCTTTCAGACCTGCTCAGGGAAACCTATAAAACAAGGCCATTTTACCCTTGCTTTCCAGGACCTTGGGGCCCTGAATGCTACAGGAATTCTGAATCCAGCCAAAACCAGTGCCCCTCCCTGTCTTCCCCAGGCTAAGTTTCAGGGAAGATACTAGCTTCTATGCAGATTAGTAGACAGTTTTGCTAATTGCCAGCTAGACAGACAGTCCCCAAGGGTGAATGGCTTGGTAAGGGGACCGAAGGCTGTATTTCAGGCCCCTCTATCTGCCTTAACAGGGGATACTTTGAAACATGCAACTTGTGCAACCACGCATGTCAGCCTTGCTGAGTTTTTATGATCTTCAAGGACGGTTTCTGTCATCCCCTCCTTAGAATGCATCCTGCAGGACCCAAGTTAGCATCAGACTCAAGGGGATGAACAAGTAGCCGTTGGAGGGAAAGAAGATAGTCATCCAGCTTTGATTCTACCTCCCTGCAAAGCTTTCTGCTCTAAGGGCACAGTGATGATTTTGGATCCTCAGCAGCAATTCATCAGGTACTGAATAACCACCCAGACTCGGATTAAACACCCAGAAAGCAGGGAAAATTTGGGGTCCCAAAGTTCACACTAACAACCAGGAGTGGTTACTATTACCTCTTACCTTGCTATCCTCAACATCTTGCAGGAGGCAGCCTGGCAAGCGTTTCCAGTGGAAGAAGACGAGGAGACTGAGGTGGGAGGCAAGGAGATAACGGATGGGGCAAGGTGCTGGAGGTGGTGGGAGGGAGTGGGGTAAATATATAGGGGAAGGGGCTCAATGAGGAAAGCAGAGCCCGTGAACATGGGGGACGGAGGTTGGTTGCAGAGCAGGGGGAATGAGGAACCTTGGCCAGATAACCTTTTACCTCTTTGAAGTTGAAGTCTGTACAATCCGGAAGGCTGAAGGTCCGGATGGTTTAGAGCGGTTCTGAAGAACCTCTCTAAGGAGGTAACATTTAGGGTGAGAACAAAAGTTAAGGAGGAATGAGACATAATCATTTCTAATACACCTTAAGCATATGGTTCGATGAGTTTTGAGAAATGAATACACTTGCGTAGTCCACACTGGTGGGATTAGGGATCAAGGTTTACTTTTCTCTATATGGATATCCAGTTGTCCTTGAACCATTGTTGAAAAGGCTTGACTTTCCCATGGAATTGCTGTGACATCTTTGTAAAAAAAAAAAAAATGACCAGATAGATATGGATCTATTTCTGGACTCTCTTCTCTTCCATGTGTCTATTTGTTTATCCTGTGCCAATACCATGTGATTCTTGTTTATTTCTCTTTTTCTGTCTCTTATTGGATGCGTTGAGGTTTTTTTGGTTTTTTTTTTTTGACCTCCTATTTTTAACTTAGCCATATTCTATTTCAATTCCTTTAATGGTTACTCAAAATTTTAATGTGTGCAACTTTTTAAAAAATAATATCTACATAAATTTGTGTTTCTAGTCTCCTCTTGAATAAGATGAGGACATAAGCACAATTTAACTTCCCTCAAAATGCTTCCTTTCCATCGTCCGTGTTTTTTTCTCCTTGTATTATTTTGAAAACCAGATAATTTGACTATAATCAATGCCTACTTAAATTTTCTAAATAATTAACAATTTATAATCAATGCATGTTCAGATTTTCCAACCAATTTTTGCTGATTCCTGTCTTGATTAATTTTTCTCTCATGACATAACATTGTCTTTATTTTCTTAAGTCCATTCTTTAGTACTTCTTTCAGGGAGGGATAATAGCTCTTGATCTCGGTTTATGAAAACAAATTCCAATCGAGAATTCTATACTGAAGTGAACTATCATGTGTAATTCTATTTCTAAACTTAAGTTCAAGATCTAGTTCCCAAAGGATTTATCTTGTCTAGATTCACACGAGCCACATGGTTTTGTTTCTTTGTGTTTTTTTTTTAAGACTTTTTTTTTTTAGAGCACTTTTAGGTTCACAGCAAAGTTGAGGGGAAAGGAGAGAGATTGCCCATATAACTTCTGTCCCCACACATTCACAGTCTCCTCCACTATCAACGTTCCACACAACAGTAGTACATTTGTTACAATTGATGAACCTATATTGACATGTCATGATCACCCAAATTCCAGTTTACCTTAGTGTTCACTCTTGGTTTTGTACATTCTATGGGCTTGGACAAATGTGTAATAACACGTATCCATTACTATAGTATTACACAGAGTATTTTCACTGCCCTAAAAATCCCCTGTGCTCCATTTAGTCTTCCCTCTTTCCCATTCACCCCAACCCCTGGAAACCACTGATCTATTTACTATTTCTATAGTTTTGCATTTTCCAGAATGTCATATAGTTGGAATCATACAGTATGTAGCCTTTTCAGACTGGCTTCTTTGGTAAAATGCATTTAGGTTTCCTCCACATCTTTTCATGGCTTGATAGCTCATTTCTTTTTAGCACTGAATAATATTCTATTGTCTGGATGTACCACAGTTTATTTATCCATTCACCTACTAAAGGACATCTTGCTTGCCTCCAAGTTTGGGCAATTATAAATAAAGCTGCTATAAACATCCGTGTGTAGATTTTCATGTGGAAATAAGTTTTCAACTCCTTTGGGTAAATACCAAGGAACGCAATTGCTGGAACAGATGGTAAAAGTATGTTTAATTTTTGTGAGAAACTGCCAACCTGTCTTCCAAAGTGTCTGTACCATTTATATTCCCTGGTCACACAGCTTTGATTTCTGCTTATAACTGTGGCTAAGGTCCCCTGGTGGCTGCTGGAACATTTAATCTCATGTTTTTAGGCTTAGTTATACATTTTTAAACTTGGGAATAGTCTGTGTCTGTTTAGACCTCCATCTTGAGCAGACCTGTTTAGAATCAGGAACAAGCACTACCCAGGCAGAGAAGGTATCACATGCATAAACCCTACTGTGGTGAAAGGATTGGAGAGAAGACCCTGTGATTGTAGTGTCCTAAGGGAGAGGGAGAGATCATACGGTGAGATACAAAGGCAGGTCCAGATCACACAGGGCCAGGGTAAGGAGTCTGGAGTTTGTTCTCAGTGAAATGGAAAACCATAGAAACACTTTAAGCACCGTGACATGATCAATTTCCAGACTTAAAAAGTAATTTGGCAAGCATGGTTGGCTTTCTCATTCTCTCTACTTATCCAGCTTCTGAAAGCCTCTGATTTTACTTTCATATACATATGTCTGTTTCCACAGCCTCCAAGCATTTACATTTTGAGAGTGCCTCCCACAATATAAATAAAAGTTTCCAACATTAGTCTGCAGAAAAGAAGAAATCATGTCAAAGCACTGGCTAAACCCTGGCTTATAAATTGCATGACTCAAAGGAAGCAAACATGTAATTTGCATTAGATTTAGCCATGTTTTGTTAAATTAAAATATATCAAATAATTATTCAACAAATGCATTGCAAGAAAAAGAGGGAGATGGAGTTGGGGAACCTATAGATGAAAAGAGACTTAAAAGAAATATCAACCAGTAACAATGTAGAGAACTTATTTGGATCTTAATTTAAACAACAAACTATTTTTTAAAATGACATTTATTACATAATTGGAAAACTCAACACTGATTAGATAGTTCATGATATTAAGAAATTTTAATTACTTTACATGAGATAATAGTTATTTTTAAAGCCCTTATCTTTTAGACATACACACTAAAATATTTTCAGATGAAATGGTATGATATCTGGAGTTCAATTCAAAATAATACAGAGTGGGGTAAGTGGGTGGAAGTATTAACAAGACAGCTATAAATACAAGTAGATAATTGTTGAAGGCTGGAAAATGGGTACATAGAAATTTATACTATTCTACCTACTTTTGTAAAGGTTTGAAAATTTTCACAATAAAAATCTTTGAAAAAGAAAAGTAATTTGTAATGTTTAAACTTTCAATAAGAAAATATGAATTTAATCAATACAAAATTTCCAGATAAAAATGTCTGTAATCTTTCTCCTTTCCAACAATTCTTTTCTTGCTTTTATGTATTAACTATCCATCCATCCATCCATTCATCCATCCATCCATCTATCCATCCATCCATCCATGCTTCTATCTATTATCTATCTATCTATCTATCTATCTATCTATCTATCTATCATCTATCTATCCTTCATCTGTCTGTCTATCTATTCTTACATTGTCAATAAAAATTGTTTAAATGCCTGGTTCTGAGTTACTATCTTAATTTAAGTTCCCCAGAAGCAGGCCCTGAGGTGAAGATTCAAGTGCAAGCAATGTATTTTTGAGGTGCAGGCAATACTTGAAGGGTAGTGAGAGGAAAGAAAAGCAGCCAATAAGCTGCTTTATCCAACAAGTCAGCACTGAGGTCAACTTGAGCCAAATTCCTCGGAAAATTCTCTGAAATATTGTTATGCACACACGCCTCCAAACAGACCCTCCTGAGTGATGACGGGGTATTTTGATACCAACTCTGATCAGTGATTGCTGGAGGACTGCTTCCAAAAGAAATTAAGCCTCTGGCACATCTAGGGTGCTGTTCCCATGCAGGATGCTCTTCCACAAATTTGAAAAAAGGCTTTGGCACAGAGATGTGGATTTTGGCAGTTGGAAGTCGGCTGCAGGACACTGAATGGGAAGGCCTAGGAAAATGGGCAGAGCAACAATAGCATTGGCTGCAGCATGCTTCTTACACTACTCAGATCATTAATTCCCTCCATCCCATCAGTGCGTCTTCAAGGTGGTGGCCAGCCACAATGTCAAAAATAAAAACTTATAATAGGAGGATGAGTGAGACAAGTTACAGTCCCTGCTGCTGCAGCTGTGTCTGCCATTACAGTGAATATTCATTATTTCCCTTCTTTTCCACCCATTCTAGATCCCCCTCTCACTGTCTTCATTTAGAACTGAAGCCTGTAGGAGAGTGTGGGAATCAGGAGAGGGCAGGGAAAGATTCTAGACAAAGATGGATGTATCAAAATAAATGGATCCATTTTGCATGTTCAGAGGTTTCAGGGGCTACTGGTGCATTTCTTCCTTTCTTCTCCTTTCTTTACTTTTCTGTTTATTCTTTAGCAAGAAAATAAAGAGTGAGCCAGGCTACATTAGTTTCTTTGAACTAAGAGTGATTTAGCATAAATCAGTTCAAAAGGATCAAACTACTGAAACAGGCAACAACATGGATAAATCTCAAAACATTATGCTGAGCAAAAGAAACTGGGCACAAAAAATACGTACCATAAGATTTCATTTATATGAAATTTTAGAACAGGCAAAGCTAATGTAATGTTACAGAAACAGATCAGTGGTTGCCTGAGACAGGAGGTTGGGAATTGACTGGAGAAGCTGGAGGGAATTTCTAGGATGCATGGAAACATTCCATATCTTCATTGTGGTAATGGTTACCCACGTGAATACAATGGTCAAAATTCATCAAACTGTAGACTTAAAATAAGTGAATCTTATCACATGTAAATGATACCTCAATACTGACTAAACACAATAATTAATTTTACTAGTTGACAGGCTGTCAAAATAAAAGAGACCTACACGGTAAAGATTTGGTCCCAAACTTTTAAAAGAAATGCTTTCAAAATTTTCATCTTGAAGCAATTCTCTTCCTTGGCCCCTTCTTAGGGAAATCCAGTAAAGAAAGAGTTTTCCATTTTTTCCTCCCCCACCTTTCTTTTTTAAGAATGCAAGTATTTATTCTTGATCAAGGAAATGAAGAGCAAATT